AGGTGAGGCACAAGGTGGTGCAGGACTGGTGGTGCTGAGTGGGGCCAGGAACGTTAGCAGTGGGGATAGACAGGGCCATGGTGATGGGTTTTCATTGGTTCTAGAGGAGTTAATGGACACTGAGACTGTTTTCAATCAATTTGCATAAGAGGTCAAAGGTAATTCTGTGAAGTTCCTGGGACTGGCAGAGTTAATGCAGAGCTACCTTCATTTTCCCAGACCCTATGGGTAACCATACTAGCACTGCAGCCCAGCTCACAAAAGCTGGTGAGACCTTCCATCCACTGATCCACAGGCAAACCTGGAAAAGCACATTGTCCTGACGGCTGGGGAAAGCGGGGCAGCCTGACCTGATGTTACTGGTCTCTTAAACGCCAAGTCTTGTCTAGTTCTTGATTATCTAACTTTCCAGCTCTGCCTGTGGTGTACACCGACCTCACTGAGGCAGAGACCTCCTATGTTACTCTGAAGTTGTGGGTGTGGGCGGAGGGGGCCCCCAGCTAGGCAGAATGGGTGCCATAGGCCATCCACGCATGGCACAAGCCTCAGAGCTCTCCCAGACTGCAGTGACCTTGCAGATCAGCTGAGGATGGTGGCTGCAGGGTGGAGCTGAGGCTAGGTTCTGATCTCTGGGAAGTGAGGAACAGGCCTGATGACCATCCCACAGATGTGAGGCCTTCAGGTCCTGTCACACAGGAAGCTCAAGGCCAGGCCAACCTCATCTCAGTCCACTGGGGAAGGCCCTGCTTTCTGGGCAGGAAGCCTGTCTATTCTGAGTGCCCCTATTTCCTGTCCCTTACTATGTATGCATGGACACCAACTCCTGTGGACACCCATCATGACAGGCTATTTTGGTGGCCTCCTGCTCCTCTATTTGGGTTCTGGGAGTGGTTCTTTTGCACAGGAATTTCATGTGTGGGAACAACTTAGCTTGTAAGGGACTGGTTCAGCAAGGTCTGGGCAATGTCTGAGATACAAAGCATGACGGTCCTGGGCGCTCACAGAGTGGGGTGGTTACAGCCTGAAGGTGGGCAGAGCGGTCTGCTTGTTCTGGGTGGGAGGTCCTCAGGGTAGTGAGCAAGAGGGGTTGAGAGGGGCTTCAGACCACTGGTGACCTGCTTGTAGGTGGAAGTCAGTGGTCACCTACAGAGACATCATTGCTGTAGTTTGGAGATCAGATTCCCTACTCTAACATCCTGAGAACCACCAGGCTTCAGGTTCTAGAGAGGTCTGATAGGATAGACAGCAGGTCTCCAGCCCTCTGATGTCCCTTCTCAGGACAGCATGTGAACAGTCCAGAAATCTGGGCTGCTGAGGCAGTAACCAGCTGGGGTTACCTCCCAGATTCTAGACCTCCACTCTGGATACGGGCACCTGCTGGCATGTCACCTGCCCTGAAACACAAATAAAATGAATAAAACATGAATAAACTATAATAGTACATAAGGTCCTAATGAGATATTTGACAATGTGAAATAGGAAGAAAAGGGTTAAAGGTGTAGGGAAAGTGGGAAGGGTAGGGGAAAGGTAATAAGGGAAAGAAAAAAAAATAGGAGAAAATGAAAAAAATGGAAATAAAATGTTTGTAAATGGGGAGGGAAGGAGAGGGTGAAGGGAGGGCAGGGACAAGGGGAAAAAATGAGAACCAAGACCTGTCATGTAAAGGTACAAGATCCCAAAGATGAATGTAACTGTACTGTATCCCTAAAACGTACCAATAAACTCAATGAGGAAAAAAAAAATGTCTTAGGTTACCTATTGGTCTCCTATAATTATAAAATTTTAAATTGCATTTATATAGCAATTGAATATTAATTAAGATGCACACATGCAGCATACAATATGAAATTCTTAAGCCGTCTCTTTCCTGGATTTAAGGAGGTGACATTTATTCAATTTACATTTATGGAGCACAAATAGGTACAGGCCATTTGTCGAATTCTACTTGCTGAAGTGCTGCCACCCAGAGCCAGAGACAAATGCATTATCTTACTCAAATCCTCTAAATTTGATGAACACTCAGGAGGCTCTATGTTAGAGCCAATGTCAAGAATGGTCCAATTAAAAAAATATTACATAGATATTTGGCAAGGTGGTGCACGTTTTAGATTCCATGTGGATTTCAGCTTTTGACTAGATGCCAAATCAACTCTGTCAGCATTTCTTTCTGAAAAGAGTAGTGAATTAATGTGTAGGGAACTAAGAGCGACAGAATTTTGACTGTAGCTTTTCTGACACCAATGTAGTGCTATTGATTGATACAATTTGTTCAACTTTTGTACAGTTTGAGACTATGAACGCATGACCATAGTCACATGTTGAAATAAATTATTCTTGAATAGTGAAGCCATCTTACAAAGAAGAGACTGCCAGCCAGGTAAAAGAATCAAATGATCTTAAATAAATTAACGGTTCTTACTAAGGATTTGACTTGAATGTATATGAAGATAACTTTTGATAAAGGAAGTTAAAATGTTAGTTTTCCAGAGGACATTAATTCTGAATGGTGTTTTCCTGTCAAATGTGAAAAAGAATGTCACTCAATATTGCTATACAGTGATTAGGAAGGAGTACATTTCAAAGTGCTTTATCTCTTTCCTTTTTACTTGTTATCATCCACCGTTCTGGGAGTATTTATTCTTTAGAATATTCCAGAGCTGTCCTTGTTCAGTTTTCCACATGTCCTTCACAAATAGTGTCATTACTTCCTATTCAGTGAACAATTTCAAAAATAAAAACAAAGAATAACAACTTGAGAACTAAAATATTGCCTCTGTTACTGACAATCAGCAAATCACTGTATGTTATTAGGTCTGTTCAATCGGCAGGTTAATATAGCTGCTTTCTTTGCCCCATAAATGGGCCCAGGTCACCACCTCATAGTTGACATTCCTGGAATGACAGAGTGAATCTCTGTACCAGACATCTCAGAAGGAAGGAAAGTGTGCCTGGCTGTCTCAATTTTGCCATCAGACTAAGCATTCTCGCTTTCCCAATGAAAAAGAGAAGTGAAGAGCATCCTGAAAAAGTTTCTTCTTGATGGACGCCAAGAGTAGAGAAACAAAAATGACCTTTGAAAATATGCTTATCGAAAAGAAAAGGGAAGGAAACGCCCACTTGTACTCTTCGTGGAAGTAGCAAAGCACCCCTCGTTTCCAAAATGCTACTTTTTCTCAGGGACATCAGTCTTAAGAAATATTAGTTGATGTTATTTTTGCCATAATATTTCTATTTTCTTCTCCAGTTTTTTAATTTCTTCCTCTAGGAGTAGGATCGAGCCCTCAAAATGCCCCAGTAAGTGCCTGGCATTGGCACTGTGACACAACAGCAACCCCTGCAGCCTTGATAATTGTGAATTTTTCTTAATTTTTTAATGTCAAGCCTATAATTAAAAATGTTTAGTTATTTGTAATTGGATATTCATATCACGACTTCCTTAGAATCATGAAAATTTAGAGCATAATAGATTCTTATTAGACATGTAACCCTTTGTTCATTTTAGGGTAAAAAAAAATCAAAAGACACAAATTCACCGGGCTAAATTAAATTTTTTTTAAAAGGAAACAACTATTTTCTGATTATGAAATGGATCAACAAGAATATATAAAGTTCAAATATGCATAATGATATTTACATATATACGTATATCAATAAACATCTCAATATTTATACCTTTATGTGGTGCATAATAAAATTATTCTATTATTAATGAAGTACTGAGGTTCATACGAATTACAAGAAAATAATATAAAATATTTTATTTTTGTTTTGTATATTTACTGTGTATGACTTGATATTATTTATGTATATAGTCTAGTGAGTTGCTGTAATTATAAATGGTGTTTTGTTTTTATCTCAAGAGCAAATAAAATCATTTATACATGAGTCCCATGTATGATGGAGTTTTATTATCTGTTAGTGATCTTGATGTGCATAAGATTTCTAGTCTTGATCATCTTATATATCTGCTACTCTGTATCTTCTGACCTACATCTCCCATTTTCTGCTTTCCTCCAAACTCTTACCATTATTTGGCCTGTCTCTCTTTATTTGAATTTTTAAAAGATCCTGCATAAAGGGTAGATCATACAATTATTTTTTTCTGGGTCTGGCTCATCTCACTTGATATACTGTCTTCAAGGAAAGTAATTCATTTTGTGGTAAATGGATCTCATTCTTTTTTTAGTATTGCATAACGTTCTCGTTCTCTTGTATGTATATATGTATATATTACAGCTTCTTTATCCTTTTGAACATTGATGGCACTTAGGTTGTTCCAAAAATCTTTGCTATTATAATAATGCTGCAATGAATGTAAGAATGTAAAAATCTTCACAAGTATCATTTGGGTATATGCCCAGAAAGAGATTAGATCTTATGGTAGTTCTATTTATAGTGTTCAAAAAATATATACATATATATATTGTTTTCCATCTTAGTTTTACCAATCTAGATTTCTACCAACAGTGTAAAAGAGATATTTCTGGCCTAAGTTTATCTCTCTGACTCCAGAGACCTATGTTTTTATAGCAAATCTGGAAAATTAGAAACTGCATAAAATGACCATTAAATAATATTAAAAAGTCAAGGCCTAAAGTGATCTATCAACATTTTGACATGTTAAAACAATTATTATTTTTAACTTTGTACTTTGATACATATATTTATGTAATTGAAATTAGTGCTGAATGTTTTTCTTTTTCCTCATGCAAGATTTAGTGGCTTTCAGTATGTTCTGTTTTTAGGAAGAATTTTAAAAATATCAGTGGAGGTCTCTGCCCAAAGGTAAAGAAAATTTTGTCAAGTTCTCTTTATTATTATGTCCCTTAACAAAATAAAAGATAATTTTATATAAAATTTATATAGGTTCCTATATTGGATAGTGTTGATGTAAGACATGCAATGAATGTGATCATTTTGCATTATTCAGAAAGTTTTGGAGCTAAAATTTTCTTGACTTTGACTGTTTAATTAAACATATCTTTTCTTTTTCTGAATAGGACTTAGAGGGAAATAACTAGATAAAAGGGAAGTCTGAAATGAATGAATTCTGAAAATGAAATGTTTGGAATGGACCAATCCATAGAAACAGAAAGTAGGTAACTGGTTCTCAGGAAATGGGAAAGGGGAAAACAGAAGCGACTAAGTGATAGTTTGAGCTTCCTTGGGGAAAATGAAATATTTTTGGAGTTAGTAGTGATAATTATAACACATTGTGAATGTAGTAACTGCCATAGAATTGCACACTTTGAATGGTCAATTTTTCTGCAAGGTATATTTTGCCATAACAATAATATATAAGCATCCGCATACACACACACACACACACACACACACACACACACACACAATAGTTATTCTTAAAGAACAGCTTTGGTAATGGACAAGAGTCTAAAACCTTGGTTCCGTGTAAGACAGCTTTGCCCAGCACACTTGTGGTGTGGAGTCATCTGCCTCCAAAACAAGTGATACGAGTGGAGGAAGAGAAGTACAGTACTGATAAGAAAGATGTCTGCTTGAAAATGAGAATAGGAAACGCAGTCGTTTTTTCTCCACAGAATATATTTCCTGATTAATAGCAATAATTAAGGACTAGTGCTTGCCTATAGAATAGGATTTTTTATTAGCCAATCTAGAAGATAATGATTCTATTATTACAAAAATCTTCCTTCTGCACTTGAGTTCCACTGCCACATCATTGCCACAACAACCTTTCTTCCGTGAGCACTGCTGATGCAGATCACTTTCCTCCGAGGTTAAGCTGGTGGCTTTGAGATTGAAAATCCATAGGTAGTTACCTAATCATTCAGTTCTTTTCCATTCATGCCCCACAGAAACTTGACAGTCTATAATACTTGTCTTGTTAATTTTCTCCTCTCTGAGACACAATATCTAACACCCACAACTTCACAGGAGAGTCCTTTATTTTGGCCCATGTTTTTAAAATGATTCAGTCCGTAGTCAGCTGGAATGAGGAGTCTGGCAGAGAAAAACTGCTCCTGTCAGAGAGAGAAGGAAGGTGCCAGAGCAGGTCACACCCACAATGGCCTGCATATTCTGCCCAGACCTTGCTCCTAGCAGCATGTTCAGCTATAAATATGACAATGATTAATCTACTAATGAGTATAGAGTCCCCATAATCTAATCACCTTCAAAAAGCCCCATTAAAGCATTGCTGTTTTCAAACTTCATAGCCTTTTTCTTGGATTAGGTTTGCTCACTGCCTGTGGCTTTCATTTGATGTTTCACTTTCTTGGCGACTCAGAATGTTGGGGTTGCTACTGAACTTTCAACTTCACTCTTTTAGCTTCACACACTGGCCTCTTGAAGGAACACTGCCTGGCCTCCGAGGCCTTCTCTTGAAATCTGGGTGGAAGCCTCTGTGAGCCTCCAAATCTTTCATTTTGCATGCCTATAAAACCAACATGACATGGACAATGCCAAGGTCTGCCACTAGCCAGGCCCCTTTGGATCATGGCTGTAGAACTCTCTGACGGGCTGAATGACTGAGCACTAAGAATAAAACTCCATAAAAACAATTTAATTTTCTAGGAACCTCTTTTCCAATATGACATCCTGAAGCTGTTTCCTCAAAGCAATGATTTTCAAGAGAGTTTACCTTTATCTTTTTATACCTTTGAGCCAGAAAAGAGTGGAGTCTTTCTGATTCCTGAGATGCCCTTAAGACATTTTTCCTATAGTTCTGATACAAATTATTAGACTTATTTTATGCTAATCTTTTTTTTTCCTATTTTCCTATATACATTTTCAGTATACAATACAGTTACAGTCATCATTGGGATCTTGTACCTTTATGTGATGTATCTTGGTCCTTATTTTTCTCCTATTCCCCTGCCCTCCCTTCACCCACTCCATACCTCCCTATTTACAAGACTTTCTTTCAATTTTTTCCTCGTCTCATACATTTTTCTTTTCCCTTCTTTCCTTTCCCCATCCCTTCCACTTCTCTTACTCCTTTAGACCCTTTCTTCCTATTTCACATTATCATACATTTTGATCATCCTTATTTACACTTATAGTTTTTCATAACTGAGAAACTATTTGGTATTTACACATGTGTGTCCTATTTATTTAACTTAAGAGTATGGCCTCAATACACATCCATTTAGCTATAAATAGCTCTAGTTTCTCATTCTTTATGGCTGATTAGTACTCCATTTTATTTAAAAAAAAAACACACATCTTCTTTATCCAGTCTCCAGTTGATGGGTAATTGGGTTTTTTCCAAGATTTAGCTATTACAAACATGGGTGCACATATATTGCTATGGTATGACTCTTTTAAATCTTTGGGAAGACACTCAGCAGAGAAGTAGCTAATCTTTTTAGCAACTGTGCTCCCCAAGGCCTCAATTCTTCAGATGCTTCCTTTCTGATAAAAGTGTACACTGGTTTTGTATCTTCTGGCTCTCCTATTTGCTTATTTGCTCCTGAATTTTATGCAGGCCTGACTAAAAGCCACCAGCAGTACTCATGCCATAGCAACAATGCTGGATGGTCTTTTAATTTCCTCTTTAGATTAATTACTCAGCCACCTGTAATTTCAGTCTGCTGCAAAGTGTCAAGACGTGGGCATAATGCAGACAAATTCTCTGTCAGAGCTTAATATATAAAGACTTGAGTCCCACTGACAGTGGAGTCGTTATTCCCAACTGAAGCCTCCTGATTCAGTGTTTTTTTCTGTGTCTTTCTATTAGCGTTGTAGTCTTCTGAGTTCCCACCAGAATCTGCTATGAAACTGTGTTTATAGCATTGCAGGATTTATCTAGCCAGCATCTTCAATCATTTTCTAAACTCCTCTGACAAAACCAATTCCAAAGGAGTCTAAACCACATGGTCAGGTACAGTGATGGCAATGACCCTGACCATGTGGTTTAGACCCCTTTGGAATTGGTTTGTCAGAGGAGTTTAGGAAATGATTGAAGATGCTGGCTAGATAAATAGGAATCTGGGATGGTTATATTTCCTTCTAGGTCACATCCCTAGTGACTTACATCTTCTAACAAGGTCCCACCTCTTAACAGTTTATTTAGTCATAAATACATCAGTAGATTAATCTACCAATCAGTATACCATCACAGTGATCCAATAATCACACTTCTAAATACTTCCTAAATCTAAAACATATTATTATTAGAGTAATAATCATGAACAATATTGGGTACATTGACCATAATATTTTTTCACTCCTGACATTTAGTTTAACAGACTCTGTTTTAAATTCCTCTGATAGGCTCAGATCTTACACTGAACAATCATATTTTTTTCAAAGTCGTTTATTTCCCAATTTTCTGATGTCTTTATATTCAGCTTCAGGGTAGAAAATCTGGTTTTATAAATTCAAAAAAGTCCATATGAAAGGATGTTGTCATTTGGAAGACCTTTTATAGTTAGAAAGTACCTTTCTAAAGATTATATTTTCTTCTTCTCTGTGGTACTGGGATAAATTGTAGGGCCTTTCACTGAGCTACATCTTTAGCCCTTTTTATATTTTGATTGTGAGATGGTGTCTCATTAAATAACTACAATTCGCAGACAGGGACAGAACTTGCAATTTTCATGCCACAGCTTTGCAGAACCCCGGGATTATAGGTATATATTTCTATCCTGGTAAAATCTACACTGTGTTCTTTTTCTCCTTTCTGTTTAAACATATTCAGATTAAATTTCTATTTGTTTCATAGTCTTATGCTAAAATCTACACGATAAAGCCAACACAAAAATATTTAGAAATTTTCATATTAACTTTATCTAGTAGTACGCATCTGCGGTAGCAATCTTTTATACTAAAAATAAAGCAGAAGTGACATGCCGTGGGAACAGGAGATGATTATTGATTAAATAGCAACATCTGATATATCCAATGCTTAATAAATGTTTATTGAATTATTTTGCTTGGCTTCATAGTTGCGCCTAACAGCTCGCATGGAAAATATCCTGTTATTCCAGAAATCTTTCTTGACTTTTTTTCTCTTTGTGCTAAGTGATTTTATTTTACTCCATCAGACCGATTGACTTAAGCAACAAAAATTTAGTTTTTAGAAGGTAGAGTTCAAAAATAAGTTGCAGGCAAGGTTATTTTCTATTGAAACAGATGACCTAAGGGGAACTTGACTTCTTGCTGCTTCCTCTCATGGCTTTTCTTTGTGTCCTCACGTGGAGACACCTACAGAGAGCCACATAAGGTTCAAAAGGGAAGGAGAGGGAAAGGAAAAAGAGAACATTCTAGTATTTTTCACTTCCTCTTATAGTCTTATTTGTTTAGGTACATGCTCCTGTGACTTAATTGAATTATATTTACCTCTCTTTTTTCTACAGTCACAGGGATTGAACTCAGGGCCTTTGTATTCCCAGACAGAATTATTTTTGTGTATTCACTATGTCGCCCAGCCCGGGCTTGAACTTATGATGTTCTTTCCTCAACCTCCCAGAGTCCTGGTGTTATAGTCATGCACCACAGCAGACAGATATAGTGGCTACTTTACCAGACCTGTTCTTGAAGACAGTTGCACTGGAAGATCTAGATTTCACTATGTGAATTTTTAAGGGATTTTAAGGGATATCTTAACAACTTTCCACTTTCTGTCTACCCAAATTTAAGTCCTCATATGCGAAATACCTTCTCCCAATCTCAATAGCCTCAAAAGTCTTAACCTATCAATTCCAAGTCCACAGTCTCATTTAACTATCACGTTAAGCAGGTCTGAGTGAGTCAAGAATAAGAGGGCACAAGGAAAAATTCTCTCTGTGAGTCTGTAAAACCAGACAGAGTATTTGCTTCCAAAAGGGTAATGGTGGGGCAGGCACAAAATAGGCATTCCCATTGAAAAAGATAGAATAAGAAAAAAAGATAGGAATGGTGTCAAGCAAGAGCAAAACAGAGGAAATTGAATTGGACTTGACCTTAAGGATTGAATATATCCCTCTTTGATTGGGTATTCTGTTCTTTAGGGACCTCAAATGATAGCATCACTTCCTCAGTCACAGGCATCAGCTATGTCCTTCTGCTACTGGGTCCTTGTTCACTCTTCAGACCAGTGGGTTGGACTTGCTCCTCAGGTACTGGGTGGTGGCA